CTAGACTGAATAAAAGCGCCACGTGCTTTTTCTTTATATATCTCATTTGATTCTTCTTGATATTTCTGTTACAAGAGCTTCATCAGCTGACATGTGATAGATCTAATTAATTGCTCTAATTGTTATTTTCTTTATATGGTTTATTATTTTACTAAATTAGATCACGTCTTCGAATTTCACATTTAAGTAATTCCCAATATTTCACAAACTGGTTGTTATTTTGAGCGATTGTCCAATACTGTTTCAATGTCATCAATGTCAAGAAGACAAAGGAGATGGTCGTGGACTTCAGCTGGAACCCACCCCCCACCCCCACGAACATAGGAGGATCTGCGGTGGAAGTGGTCTCCAGCTACAAGTACTTGGGTGTGCACCTGAATGACAACCTCATAGCATATCTTAGATCTTATTCCCGTTTTTCTTTGACATTTTATTGTTGGATGTAACTGGGACCCTGAGTACACAATCTCGTTCCACCGCATGTACCATGTGGTGTGAATGACACTAAAGAAACTCGGACAGTGAAAAGACTTGACTCCAGGTATATTGTGTCCGTGGGATGACAGTGTCTCCATATGTCCAATAAATGCAGCCGGTTAGAGAAGTCCATGAGATGGGTCTGTCCACTGGTTCAGTTTGTTTAGTCAAATACCTCAATCAGCCATTAAACAAAATGTCCATCTTGGGTTTTTAGGTGGCCAATAAATTGTTTCAGAAGACTCTTGGGAACAACCACATCAAATTTAGTGCTTGTATCACATTTGGCACGATTCTCATGCAACATTGGTTTTAGTTGCTTCACTAACATTGATGCCTGTTCACCTGTGGGTGATTATTTCTTGGAAGAGGTAATCAAATCCCTGGAAAGATCAAGTCTAAGGGTCGGTTTCACAGACAAGGCTTAAAGCTAGTCCCAGACTAAAATGCTGTTTGAGCTGGTTTAACTTTAAGTCCCTTGCACAGTCTCATCTTAAAATAGTTGCAGATTTAGTCTGTTCTGTATTAAACAAAGCCAGTTGCAGGAAGGTGGATCAGAGCTACTCTGTGACTAAATTGAAGCTTAAATTAATCCTTCAACGAGGCAGGTTTAATTTCTGCTTAGTATCGTTTGTGAAAGGGAGCAGAGACAGTTTGGCAGCATGGAGTATTTAGAATATCTAAATGAATACCATTATACACAACGGAGGCCATCCTGAAGAGCACTTGTGGATAGAAGTAATCCACTGAACCTCTTTGATGAAATAACATTCAGAGACTGCTTTCATATGTATAAAGAAAATGCATTGGGACTATTTACTTTGCTTGAGCCTAGACTTTCCTCTCTGAATCAAAGAGAAAGGCCTGTACCCAGTTCTCTCCAAGTTCTGATCACTTTAAGATCCTTGGCATCTGGAATCTTTCATTGTGAAGCTGGTGATTTGTGTGGTGCCAGTGAAGCAACTGTGTGTAGAACAGTTCACAGTCTGCAGTGCCATTTGTGAACTGCAGACTCTATACATCAAATTCCCTGATGCTGCTGAGCAAGCCAACTATAAAGCATGTTTCTATGAATACGGGCAATTCCCAGGAGTGATTGGCTGTATAGATGGATGTCATGTTGCCATCAAGTGTCCATCAACTCCTGATGCTGAGGAGTACAGGAACCGGAAGAACAGGTTTTCCATCAATGTTCAGAGTGTATGCACACCCAGTTTGGGATTTTCAAACATCGTTGCTCGTTGGAAAGATGCAACTCACGATTCAAGGATTTTTCTTAACACCTCATTGTGTGCTCAGTTTGACAGAGGACAGCATAGTGGACTACTACTTGGTGACATTGGATATAGTCAGAGTACATATTTATTCACACCATACCTACATCCCACAACAACTGAGCAACACAGATACAACAGAGCTCATGTTCGCACAAGAGGGATGGTTGAGCGTATGTTTGGAGTATGGAAAATTAATTCCACCGTTTACAGAATACACTTTGTTAGGAGCCAAGGAGATGCTGCAGTGATTGTTGCTACAGCTGTGCTGCACAACTACCTAAAGCAGCATGAATGTCCGGATCCTCCGATGGAAGATCAAGATGATGCAGATGTGCACGTGGCAATTTAATTACATTTTTCAGCATTGCTGTCTCATGCAGCTTTCTTTGAGCAGCTCTTTCTTCTAATTTCATGTCTAATTCAACCTGTAAAATTCTCATGTTCATGTCATGCTCTTCTTTCAGATATTTCATTTTCTGCTCATGAAACTCTAGGGCTAGTTTTTCCACGCACAGACATGCTGTTTGGTCTCTGCTGGATGGTAGTGGCAGCATCGTCTCTCTGGCGTGCCTCACCCGATGTGGAGGGTGCACGGGCACTGTGCGCTGGCTCTTCCATCAGGATAAGTGTAGGTTCCCCTGTGTAAAGCGCACGGTTAGAAACACAAACCAGTGTGGTCCTTAGACTGAAATACAAATACAGAAAGACACAAACAGGAGAATATTTGTACAGGAGGTGGTAACCTCTTTGGTAAATTTACCATTTGTGTTCTGCTCTTCATGTCCACTGTCCACATGGTCATCATCTGGTATACCTTCCAGAGGTTGCTGGTCTATTATTCCAGACAAGTCACCCAGTGCATCTGTTTCGTCTTTCCTTGGTGGTGGTCCACCACCAGTAGTAAATCGTTCTCTTCTAGCCTCTGCATCCTTTTTTTTCTCTCCTAGATTTAGTTTTATGTTCTTCCACAGGGTCTATGAAAGCAGATATAATTGAATAAACAATATATTAAACATAACACAATATAAAAACAAAAGTAATAATAATCCCTATTTATGAAGCAACTTTCAATCAAATATGTAGCTCAAAAAGTGGCTGTCAGCATTACAGTGAAAACCACCGCATACGCAATAAAATAAAACAATGCAATATGAATCAACATAGAATACAATAAAAAAGTTGCTATTAACAATTAACTGTAATAATCACAATCAAGCATATATCTGTGATATAGTGATCATAATGGGCATATCTCACCTGAAGTTGTTCCACTTCTCTTGTGGTTACATTATGATCTGCATTGAATTCATTAAATTATAATTTGCTTTGCATTGCAAATTATAATATCTTATAATCTAGCTGTTTATTGCAACTTTTTTAGCTATCTTATTTGTTAAAAAAAAAATCTATTCTTTTTTTTTTAAAGCTGTCTATTGTTGTTGCCATCATCCTTTGTTGAAATCAGGTCTCGTAAATGAGTTCTTGAGGCTCAATGGGATTAACCTGTCTAAATAAAGGTTGAATGTAAAAAATTGCAGCCCAAGCACTCGTCTTCTTATGCTCAGCAGCAGTACGGCTCTTACTTTCAATGACGGGATGATTTGTGACAATTTGTTAAACTTTTTTCATACTCTGTATAGTTTATTTGAGCGACTTCTTTTAGCTTCAGCCATTGTTGGTGTCAAAACTCACTCCAGAAATGCTGCTAATTCCATTCCAGGTTTTTATGAGAAGTAAACCAACAGGCTGTGCTCCCACTTAGGTTAATGAGGCTTGATGCAGATGTTCTCATTAGTCATACTCCAGGACTCCACAGTGTTGAGACTAAAACAAAGTTAAGCCACATTCAAGCAAGCTGCGTAAATGCCCAAGTTTAACCAGTCCAGATTAGGCCTCCTCCTGTTTTAATCCAAGCCTCGTCTGCGAAACCAGAAATGTATTAGGTCAAAGTAGGTTTTCTGTCCCTATAAAATTAGTACTTATGGTGAAGTGAAAATTTAGGTTGTTATTACCAGTTGGACGTTCATCGTTACAACTCCACTGGCATCGATGTGCATTTATAAGTTTTGTGTGTTCAACTGAATGAGGAACATTATAGAAGATACGGTTCTTCCTAAGTGCAGAACACTTGTCAGTCAGTCTCATCTTAGCCACCAGGAAATAATTAATGCACAATTAAAGTGAACAGTTCAGACTGGAGGGAAAGCAGCATGAATGTAAATCAGAAATGACAGCTCGCTGGTTTCCTGTTCACTTCCTTCCTTCCTGCAGACTTCACATAAACACGTGAATCCTGTTGCATAACAAGTTACACAATAAAGCACATCTACACACCTGGGCCACAAGTCCACGAATCAGACACCCCTTCACGTACGACACAGCTCAGATGAGAGGGTGAATAACCACAAAACCCCTTTAAAAAAATGAAAACTTTATTTCAAGTACAAAAAGCGAAAGAAACCCAAATATATTAAACTCGATACAAGCATTAACTGAGAAGTCCTCTATAAATACGTTAAAATAAATTAAAGAAATTAATTTACTAAAGATTATCACCTTTATCACTAAACAGGCCTCAAACGTGTCGATGAAAAGGCAGTTTTAAATAGACCAGGAACACCTCGACGTCCGTTCCCCCTAAGCTACTACACCGTAAACACACACACACGCGCACAGAGATAAACAATAAACAGCCAAACAACGTTCCTAACACACTAAAGCATACAGAGCCTAACTCTACAGTATGCTGGATCTAGTTTTTCCAGTAAGGCAACAGAGCTGGGAGCACGACCCGGGCTGGTGTCGTCAGGATGAAACGGTCCGAACAATACGAAGCTGCAACGGAGTATTAATACTGAGTGACAGAGACGAGAAGGGCTGAGAATCAACACAAACACGTACTGATGGAACAATGCACTTAGGCTGACGGGGGTGGGGGGGTGGGGGGGGTGTCACTTGATGTTTAAGATCATAAAAAAAAAACAGCAACATATGAAAACAACTGTTAAGAAGGAGGCACTTCACCTTTAAATCACTCACTGAAGCTTCTGAGCCCGTTTTAGTGCTCACCGTCTGCTTGTCGGGCTTTTTTTTGTTAGTTTTTTAAGCCTCCAAAGTGTTTTAAATATTTAAATTTGTAATATTACCTGTACACACGAGATGGAGCCAATTAACAGCATTAGTAAAAACACCACCACCATGAACAGAAGTAAACGAAGACTCTCACCCCTTGTCACATCTCTTCAAAACGTCTCTTGGTTCAACGTCGTAACAGGATCTGGTCGAAATTAAAACAATGGTACAGGCAGAATACTTAAAAGTAACCCCAACATTCAGCTGCGAGGCCAGCGCTCAGAACACGACCTCAGACTGCACAATGATAAACAAAAACTAGTTCACAAGCTTATAAACAATACTGTGTACACATAATGGAGGAACTCCGAAACATTTAGGCCACCGTGTTGATTGTTCCACCATCATCTACAAGTCTGAGCTACAAAAAAAAAACACGTCTTCTTTGGCTTTGTCCCATAGCTTCAATTACTCGTAAGACAAATCAGTGGTGATGCATTCAACGACACGCTGGGATTTACGTTTGTCGTTAAGTCATCGCGGGAAAATGACACGAGTAAAACGCTTTTTGTCGTCAGTGTAAAACGTATCTCATCTCTTTAGTTTCGGCGCCACCGTGACGTCGTAACTACGTGGATCCAACGGTGGGAAATCTCTTGAGGGGTTTGGAGTCTGTCAGTTTTTAATGCCACGCAGGAGCAAAGGTCTCGTCAGTCCAGCTGGGTGCGGTGCGTTGGGTGAACCGGATGAAACAGAGTGTTTAAAAGCACTGTGCAGCTTAAAGAGAGAACTCTGTGGCATCTTCAGGAACAGACAGCTGGCTGAACACCGCCAGACGTTTGCCGCTGGCGTCGACGTTCCCCCCGCAACACTCCGAGCCGCTGAGCGAGCTGACGGAGCTGCCCCCGTCCTGATCCTGGTCCGACAGCGAGGTGCAGGACGGCGAGCGGGTGCCCAGCGGCTCAGAGAGGACCTCGGCGGCGCTGGGACTCTGGCGGAGGGGAGGCGAGTCGGTGGGGGACAGTCCGCACGGGGAGTAGCCGGAGTCAGGGGAAGGCAGGAACGGAGACCGTGGGTCAGCCTGAGCGACCTGGCTTGTGGGAGGCTGGCAGTGCTGGGCGGGGGAGGCCTCGAAGGCTGAATCCACCTCCAAGAAGGAGAGGAGGTCGGTGATGTCGGCGCAGGACGATGGAGAAGCCGACGGGCCGCTTGCGAAGGAGGTGGTGGCAGGAGGAGCGCGCCCAGCTGGGACCGGCTGGAGGGAGTGCTGAGGGACAGAGGGGAACCCGGCGAAACTGAAACTCTGTCGGACCAGGGGGGGTCTGTGTGAGCGGGTGGAGGGCGGCAGCTGCTGAGGAATGTTGAAGGAGGAAGAAAACGATGAGGAGGAGGCGGAGCGAGGGAACGAGTGCTTCTTTTCTTCCTCGCCGTTGTGGATAAAGTGGCAGCGGATCCCGTACGGGCAGAAGCCGATGGTGTGAAACGTACGACACGGCTCCGTTTTATACTTGGGGTGTCTGTTCAGGTCGCGCAGCTCCTCGGGCCCGTGGGCGAACTGGCACTTCCCGCCGTACTTGCACAAACCGTTCTCGGTGAACGAGCGACAAAGTTCGGTTTTGTAGCGCGACGAGTACGAGGGGCTGGACGCCGGCGAGGAGGGGGACGTGTTGAAAACAGAGGGGCCCGGCTCGCTCGGGGAAGTCTTTTCAGTCCCGGGCCAGCCTAGACTTGCTCCTGGTGCGCTGCTCGTCTCCACCATGCTGACGGAGCGCTGCGACAGGAAGCACGCCTTCCCCCACTGAGGGGAATTACCGAGCTGGGAGGGCAGGAGGCTCTCAGACTGCAGGCCCCACTGGCTGGACGTCAGAAACAGCTCGTCTGGAGAATCGGTGGGGAGGCAGGAGAGGGAAAACGAGGAGTTTCTGCACGGCTCGCTGACCAACCCCGGAGTCCTCAAGGCCAGACTGAGAGACGAAGCTGCTCTGTTCTGCTCTCTCAGGTCCAGACTCAGGAAATGCTGTAAAAAACAAATAAACCACGTTAAGAGACGTCTCTTTGACAGTCTGTTTTCTTGGTCATGTTTTGAATTAAAGTACTTTTGACAGACTTGGGATTAACTTGCAAACTAATAACTCGCACAGAAACCAAGTCCCAGACCTTAACCAGGTCTCTGGCTCCAGAGCTGCGTTGTTCTGCAGCCAACTCCCAGCTTTAAGCAGCGTGCAGCACCAACAGGCTGCTGCTGGCGTTCGCTACAGTGTGCATAAACACAGACTGGAGATACGAGGACACCGGTTCACAAAGAAAATGTTTATCTTTGAAGATAATCCGAACCTCCTGCTCAGAATTCAGACCACAATGGGAAGAAGTCCGAGCAACACATGGGCTGATCGAACGCGATTTATTGGCGTCAACTCCACGATTAAAGAAAACCGGGTCCTAGAGCCATTTGAGGTTTAACCAACTCTGACCTCAGATCCCTTATGATCATTGTTTCAAGTCGTTACAAGGTTCAGGCAGGTCCACAGAGGTGAGCGGGCCTTCTCAGAACACACCGAGCAGACGGAGCAAACGGGCTCCAACTCTCAACGTTCTGAAGCTTCAACTTAAACACATTTGTGCTCACCGGCTTAGTTTTAATGCAGAAAGAGCTGAAATCGTCCCACTACTTTAACGTTTCGTTTTATGGACTTGTATAGAAGCTTTGCCAAATCTGACTTCAGTTTTGTTTTGTTTGCCTTGTTGTTATTTCCTTATTATATGTGCAGCACTTTGGCACAAAGCTGTTGGTTTTAAACGTGCTACATAAATAAACGTCAACTGACCTGGGACAACATCCCCATTTAAAAAGGGTGAAACGATGAGTAACAATCCCACTAAACCCATTTAATTATAGCTCCACAGTGAAAGACATGATGGGCATCATGTCACCAACAAACCGTCTTCAAACAAGTAAGAAGGTGCAAATATATATGAGCAAGTGAAATTTGTATAATATTCTGATCTCCATCTACAAACTGATTATCTTTTGGAGTTCATCCTGCTGCCACAACGATCTGATAAAAAAACAAAAATGGTAATAACCCAGTAAATATTACTGATGCGGACCTAAACTTCGGTGTGGTAGTAGTTGAGACTGATGCCAAAAACTTGAACTTAGTGCCAGCAGATGATACTTAAAAAAAAAAATTATTTAATGCTTTGCTTTTTAACTATTGGCAGTCAACTTGAGTCTGTTAGCAAAATATCACTTTGACCACTGCAAGGATATGAATGAAACTTTCAGAAAGTAATTACCGGATATAAATCTAGAAGTGAATAACACTTGGAGGCGATCCGATTCAAGATGGTGGCTACAGATAATCCAGTTTGCCAACTCAAAAATGGCTCTAACTCGGTCAACATTACAGATACGGAGCTAAAATTTGCTGAGGTAGTACCTGAGAGTCATTCACAATAAACTCTTTGAGCACGTTACGCTGATAAATCGTGTAACGGTCATTTCAAGGTCTTCCAGAAACAGCTGTCATTCCTCAAGTCAACATATTCAGGTTCAACTTTGGCATGAGGACTTAAATGGTGATGTTTTTATTTCATCTTTGTTTACTAAACTTACACAAAGAACGTGAAAACATCATTTCCTCTTCTAAATCAGCAACAGTGGCACTGCAGACAGAGTTAGTCACTTAAGATTTCTGGTGGTAAACTTCTAAAAGTAAGCAGAACCAGATATTTTACGACATGCATTGAGCTTTAGTAAGTCAGACTTTATGAAGAGGCAATGAATGCATGTGATTAAAAGAAGCCATTCTGAGCCTGGAGTTGAGGATAATGAGCAGAAAGCTGGAGTTGGAACTAACTCCATGTCAGCCTGTTGCTCGTGCAGCTAAAAAAAAAAAAAAAAAAAAAAAAGCGGCGCAGCACCGCAACTGCTTCACAACTCCTCGCGCAGTTAGCTGTTTTGATTCAACTTCTTGGCCTTGTTTGCGTTTATTTAACAACTTCAAACACAACTAAACCGTCTCAAAGTGGCACGGAACAAATGTTTTGACCGTAGCAGCGAGCTGGCGCTACGACAGCGTCACCAAACGAGCTTGTTTGTTCGGTGGAGTGTTAGGCCCGTGCCGAGACAAACTGAGCCGCGACAACCTTCTCCATCTGAGGCTAATTAGCTTTAGCTTCAGGTTAACTGGCGAAGAACGGGCGAGACAGGCAGAACATACCGAAAGACTGCATTACACACGAAAGACAAAAGTATTAATGAGAGAACAAGCTCGTTTTCGGAGTTCTCAGCTAAGAAGCTAACGCTCCTGCCCCCACCCTGCTGACTTGTTGAGCTCCGCTCAAACTTTCTTTTGCGCTGTTCGAGGGGGGAGTTGTTTTTACCTTGCACATCATTTCTTCTAGGTCGGAACACTGGTTGAAGGGGTGAGATGGCATCTTCTTGTTTATTTTTCTTCTTCCTTCTTCGCTGAGTGACCCAGAACCTCTGTTCGATCCCGTCTGGCCCTGCAGCGACGCGCTGGCATGAGTTTGGTCAGAAGTTTCAGCTAAACAAGCCCGAGACGGAGACCACGTGTGGATTTTAAAACCTAGCAGCGCCTTTAGGCCCCGCCCCCTCCTCCATGAAGCTGCACAGTCCCTCAGACTCAACAAGGTTGAACATTGCTTTGTTCTGCAGCCCTTCAAGTGTGCAACAATGGAAATGTGCAAGAATAAACAAAAGCAAACACGGACTAACATTCAAACGTCTTTCACTTCATCTGTCATACATACACTTTTTTATATAAAAGCCACTTTTAACCAGAGAAGTTGCATTTTCTGCAGAAGGTTTGTGTGAATGAATCCTGAAATCTGCTGAAGAAGCCGGAACAGAGAAATATAAAAGGAACAGATCACAAACTAAAAGCTGACAATAACACAATGATAACTAAAAACTACAGGGAGTATTGAAGTAGCAATTTGTTTTCTTAAAAGTTGATAAAATATCAGAAAGCTAGCTAGAAACTACAAGTAGCAAAAAAGGTGGCTAAAATTAAAAAAACAAACAAACAAACAAACAAAGAACAACAAAATGTTGGTTCAAAGCAAAAGGCTAGCTTTCCGAGTTTAAAAGTAATACTGAAAGTAGAAAAAAGTTGTCTAACAGTAGCAAAAGGCTGGCTAAAAGTAAAAAAATACACAAACAAAACAAAATGCTTGTTGAAAGTATCCAAAGGCTATCTAAAAGTAACAAAAGGTTATGCAAATGTAACAAAAAAATGGAAAAAAGTAAATAAAATAAAAAAACTAAAAACAGGCTAAAAGTAGAAAAAATTGGCTAAAAGCTAAAACTATTTAAAGGTTGGCTAAAAGCCTAAAGTAGCAAAATGCTAGCTAAAAGTAGCAAAGGGCTAGCTTGAAACTAAAAGCAACAAAAACACTTAACCGTTAGTTAAAAGTATCAAAAGACCAGCTAGGAGCTAAATGTAGGTAAAAGGCTTGCTAAAGCTAAAAAGCTAACTAATACTATTTTCAGTTCAGTTTATTTATAAAGCACCAAGTCACAAAAGAAGTCATCTCAGG